CAATGTGGTCCATGAAATGAACCCTGGAATTACCAATGTTGTCCATGAAATGAACCCTGGAATTACCAATGTTGTCCATGAAATGAACCCTGGAATTACCACTGTGGTCCATGAAATGAACCCTGGAATTACCACTGTGGTCCATATAGATTTCATCACCTTTTTTTAAACAATTTTCTAAATTATTAGAAAGGTTTAAACAAAAAAGAAATTTCTAATTACTACTATTACTTTTATAAATAATTAAGGATTTTGCACGATACTTGGTCACATTGAGTATCATAATAGGCAATAAGAACATTACTCAATACAGTTCAATATGTGGACCCCATAGGTAAGTAATTTTAGGTGTAAAAATGTGTGTTTTATAATAAGGAGGAACTTACCTATCAGCAATAGCTCTCGCAAGAAGTTGTTTTCTTTTAGCATTTTCTTCCTCCATGTGTTTCTGTCGTTGCTGGAATTTTTCCAAAGCCTCTTTTTCATGCCTTAAAGTAAAACAATCAAAAGCATCTGACAAAAAGATTAACGGGAAAAATTACAATTAGTTTTATTAATTCATATAAATACAGCATAAAGGCCTTCACACACACACAATTAATTTCAACGATGTTTATGCAATAACCTGAAATTTCATGCAACTTTGTTATACATATCAAAAGCGTTGTTGTTGTCGTTGTTGTTTAAACAACCATAATTTCAACCAGAAATACTAATACAAGGACCTACTTAACAGATACAGTCAGTCAACATTTAAATTACAGAAACCTTGGCCCAACTTCATTAATTGCATCACAAATATTAAGTCCAATAAAATGAACATGGCTGTGGTCGAATACTGATTATCAATGATTTTCCTCCACAACATATATACATTTACATCTATCCACGTTTTTGTTCAGAAAATAATAATAATTTAACAAGTTGTGTGTTCCAAAAGAGTACCTTAAATTTAGGTTATAATTGTGCTAGTTTTGGTTGTTGGAATTTATTTCATTCTGATTATATTTGACCTAAAAAAACGTTATGTAATGGTATTTTATACTTCATTAGTTTAAAATCATGCTAAATGGTGCTAATTGTAAATAAATGAAAGTTATAATGGTGATGATGGTAGTATCAGTGTAGACCGTACGCTATAGTGTAAATATCTTTGGTGACTGCACGCTATAGTGTAAATATCTGTGTAGACTGCACGCTATAGTGTAAATATCAGTGTAGACTGCACGCTATAGTGTAAATATCAGTGTAGACTGCACGCTATAGTGTAAATATCAGTGTAGACCGCACCCTATAGTGTAAATATCTGTGTAGACAGCATGCTATAGTGTAAATATCTTTGTAGACCACACGCTATAGTGTAAATATCTTGGTAGACCACACGCTATAGTGTAAATATCTTGGTAGACCACATGCTATAGTGTA